AGATCTTTCCAGTGGTCACAACATGTTCTATTTTCCCTCTTCTCATAACATGGCCGAAAAATGATGACTGTCTCCTTCTGATGTCAGTGATAAGTTGTCTTCGGTCTCCCGCCTCTTTTAAAACCTCTTGGTTGCTCTTTTTGGCTGTCCAAGGTATTCTAAGCATTCTTCTGTAAAACCACATCTCTGAGGCCTCTAAAAATTGTTTGGCCTGCCTACCGATTGTCCAGGATTCACATCCATATGTTAAAACTGGATGTATGTAGCAAGCAAGAATTCTTTTTCTAACTCTCAATGACAAGGATATATTGCACAAGATGTTTTTCATTTTATAAAATGCAGTTTTTGCCTGTCCAATTCTGTTTCTTATTTCAGTTATGCATCTTCCATCTGATACTTCCCAGATACTTAAATTTCTGTAATTGTCTTAAAATAACACCATTGACTTTTATTACACATTTAGGAATAATTTGTTTCTTTGATACCACCATTACTTCTGTCTTCCCATTATTCAAACTGAGGCCCATTCTTCCACTTTCTAACACCACAATGTCTATCATTTCCTGTAATTCTTTCTGACTTGTTGCTATCAAGACTGTGTCATCAGCATAACGTAAATTGTTTATATTGTGCCCACCAACCACGATTCCGGGCATATCAATTAAAGATCTCATAATATATTCACTGTATATTGAAAACAAATCAGGTGAAAGTACACATCCTTGTCGTACGCCCCTCTTTATGCTTTGAAATGTACCTAAACAGTTGTTAATTCTTATAGCTGCTGTTTGCTGCCAATACATATTCTTTATTATTCTTAGATCTTTCCCATCAATGTTTAATTTTTCTAACAGTTTGATTACTTCTTCATGCTTCACACAGTCAAATGCTTTTGTATAGTCTATGAAGCATAAGTACAAATCAGTCTTTACTTCTATAGCTCTTTCTGACAATGTCCTTAGGATGTATATGGCATTGTTTGTACCTTTTCCTTCTACAAACCCACATTGTTCATCGCTGATTTCTGGTTTAATTTTGTTTCTTATTCTTCTCATAATTATTCTCAGTAAAATCTTAGTCATGTGACTCATAAGACTTATTGTGCGATGGTCTTCACATTTTAAAGTGCCTGGTGTCTTCGGCAGAGCTATAAATATGGATTTTAAAAGGTCATTTGGAATATACCCACTGTTATAAATATCATTTACAAGTTTAGTTATTATTTCAATTCCAAAATTTCCCAGTGCTTCGATTTCTTCCAGTGAGATGTTGTCTGGCCCGGGTGCTTTTCCTTTCTTCATATGATGTATTGCATCCTCAACTTCTGCAGTCATTATTGGTGGACCATCATTGTTGTTCGGCAGTTCTACGTCTGGTCTATTTTCATCATACAATTCCCCTATATACTCTGTCCATCTGTTAATTATATTACTATGTCCCATTAATAAGTCACCATCCTTTGATATCAAACATCCAGTGCTGTTACGTGTCATCTTTCCTGTTAACATATTTATCTGTTGGTACATGGAATAGTCCAGTCTATAGCCAGTAAAAATAAGAGAGGCGACAAAAGACATCCCTGTCGCACACCTGTTTTTATTTCAAATGCATCTGTTAGCTTTCCCTCATGAAGAACTCGACATTTCATGTCTTTATATGTTGCCTTTACTAAGTTGATAATTTTCTGTGGGATTCCATAGTGCCCCATCAATTTCCAGAGAGATTCCCTATCTATGCTGTCAAATGCTTTTTCATAGTCTATAAATCCAATGTAAAGTGGTGAGTTCAGTTCAATGCTTTGCTCTATTATCATACGTAATGTGGCTATCTGATCAGTACAGGATCTGTTTGACCGAAAACCTGCCTGCTCATCTCTTAGCATTTTATCAATAGCATCTTTTAATCTTTCCAAAATAATTCGACTTAATATTTTTCCAGGAACTGACAGCAACATAATTCCTCTATAGTTTTCACACTCCTGTAGATCACCTTTTTTGGGCAGTTTCACAAGATATCCTTCTCTCCAGTCTGCTGGTATTTCTTCGGTCTCCCAGACTTTACTGAATAATCTATGTAGCAATTCTGTTGATGTGTTTATGTTGGCCCTGATGGTTTCAGCTGGGATACCGTCTGGGCCTGTCGCCTTTCCTTCCTTGAGAAGATTTATAACTTTCCTAATTTCATCTTTGGATGGTATCTCACAGTTGATATCCAGTTCCATTTCTAAAGGCTGGATATCTGGGGGAAACTCTGGGCCTGGTCTATTTAGAAGCATTTCAAAATATTCAACCCATCTGTCCATTTGATCTTTAGTGTTAGTAAGTACCTTTCCTTGACTATTTTTGATTGATCCAGTTGGCTGACTATATTTACCTACTAATTTTCTTGTGTTACTGTAAAGTTCTCTGAGGTTTCCTTTTGCTGCTGCTGTCTCTGCTTCTTGTGCTAGATCATTTAGATATTTCACTTTATCTGCCCTAATATGCCTCCTAATTTCCTTGTTGGCTTCTGTGTATTTCTCCTGAGCTCTAGCTTTAGCAGCTCTAGTTTTGCTATTGTTTAATTCTGCCTTTTTACTTTTCCTATCTTCAATCAGTTTAATGGTTTCTGGTGTTATCCATGCTTTATGTTTCCTTTCTTTCTTGCCAAGAACTTCTACGCAAGATTCATTCCAGATTCCTTTGATCTGATCCCAGCAGACTTCTGTGTTGACATCTTCAGCTAACTGCTGCAACACCTGGTACTTATTAGAGACTGTAACTGAGAACTGTTCCTTAATTTCTTTATCTCTGAGAAAGCCTGCATTATATTGGTTTCTATGATTATAAGATGTTATATATCTTTTTAGTTTCAACTTGATTTTACTTACCACTAGGAAATGGTCAGTAAATACATCGGCACCTCTGAAAGCCCTAACATCGTAAAGGGATGATCTAAACGTTTTGTTAATACATATGTGGTCAATTTGATTAGTTGTCTTATGGTCTGGTGATTCCCATGTTGCCTTGTGTATACTTTTAAGGGAAAAAATACTTCCACCAATAACATACTGGTTACCTGCACAAAAATGTGTGAACAATTCTCCATTTTCATTCATTACTCCTAGACCATGTCTCCCCATAATTTCTTCATAACCTGTGTTGTCTGATCCTATCTTTGCATTCAAGTCACCCATCAAAATTTTTAAGTTGCCCTTTCTTTCATTATTTATAATATTTTGAAGCTGCATGTAAAATTCTTCCTTAACAGATGCATCTTTATCATTTGTTGGTGCATAACACTGTATTACCGAGATGTTCACCTTCTGTTTAACTGTTCTAAAAGATGCTCTTATTATTCTGGGACACACAGCTTCCCATTCTATTAGTGCCCTGTCTGCTTCTTTTGATAGCATCAGGGCCACTCCCTCACTGTGCGGCGAATTTTCCTCTGTGTGTCCTGAGAACAAAATAGTTTCTCATGAATTTAGAATACTTTTCCCTGCCCCAGTCCATCTAGTTTCACATAACCCTAAAATACTAATTCTATAATGTTTCATTTCCTTTGCTACTTCCATTGTTCTTCCTATATCATAAAGAGTTCTAACATTCCAGGTGCCAATTCTGGAGGTTTTCCTAGCTGAGAGGAGGTACGTCACCGATCTGGACTCCTTGCGGCTTTCTCCACACCGTGTCATACTTCTTCTATTTGAAGAGCCTTCCCTCATCTTGGTTGGCTGGATTTTATTTGCTTCTTTTTTTTTGACTTATCCATGGTTGGTTGGTTTTTGTGGCTATGGTTTTTACAGGATGAGGTAGCCAACCTCAAGCCCAACCCTACCCTTAGTCGCCTCTTACGACATGCCTGGTAGGGTGCAGTGTCACTATTCTTTGCTTCCCGTGAGGGACTTGGTGATTCACTAGTCAATTAATGGATAGACTGCTTTGCCTGACTGGCTGATATGTTTACTGGTTGGCTGGTGGATGGGTTAGTTGTGTGGTTTCTTGGCTGATTGATTAGTTTAGTCTTTTGTTCACCCAGAAAATAACTGCAATGAGCCTGTTCACAAAATAGTTGTGATAACAGAGCTTTTTGGTTTCCTTTCTCCAGTTACCTCAAAGAAATGCGGAAAAAAAAAAGGGGGGGGGGGGGGGGTGTTAGGATTTTTCTGTGTGCGCTTTTTAGTAAGTTACTTACGTCTTTAAGGTTGTTGTTGATGTCACTGTTCCATTTTTATGTGTGCAGTCTTACCCTCACATGTGTTCACTACTTCTTCAGCCTGGCTATCTCATTATATGGTCAAACCTTCATTTATTGCTTTCTGAACTTTGTCTTTATTGCAACATAAAATCTATGATTTCATCTCTGAAAACGAAATTTTACTGTAGGAGATTAGAATATTATTATCTCTGTCTTTCACTGATGAACTGATTGCCAAAATGTTTCTGAATCACGTGTGTTTCATTTATTTTATACTTTATAAAATGGGAAATCATGTGAGAAAAATACTACTCGTAACAAAGAGGAACAATATGATTCCCTAGAGGAAGATCTAGTTTTTGAAGACAGTAAAATTGTCACGATTAGAGATAAAACTGGTAAACATCCCAGAATAAACTTACAGAGATGAGAAATTAAACTAGGACAAATTAGAGATTCAAGTGATAGAGAACAAAGATTAAACTGACAGAAATTACACCAGTAGAGATTTGAGAATAACCCAGTAGAGATTAAAAATGAAACTAGTATACATTTCAGATTAAAATAGAAGATATTATAGATTAAACATGTAGAAATTAGAGGTTAAAGTGGTAGCAATGTGATATTAATCTGATAGAGATTAGAAATTAAACTAGTATAAATTATAGATTAAACTTATAGAGATGACAGATTAAACTGGTAAAGATGACAGATTAAACTCATAGACAGACATTAGAAATTAGGTGGTAGAAATTAAAAATTAACTAGCATACATTAAAAATTAAACTGGTAGACATTAGAATAGAGATTAAAGGTCATACCTGTATATTTCCAGCAGGAGAGTTAACAACACAGGGATGTTTCCACTTGTGAGTTGATGTACTGTTTAGCAATGTACTATTCCCATCAAGGTTATTCACTAGCATCATGTGCTGTAACGTCACCCCTTTGTGATCCAATATCTCCAACTGGTTGGGGTGGTCAGGGTCAGCAAGTGTGACCATGAACTCATGGTTCTCTACATCCATGGTATCAATTCTGGCGGGAAGCAAAAAAAAGCAGGAAATTAATCAGAGGTAACCAATAACAATTCAATATTTAATCATATGTTATTTTGAATCTAATATATACCAGTGAAAGTTGGAGAACCTTGGACAAGATATGGAACCCAAAATTACAAAGTATACTAAATTACTCAATTAAAACTATGGTTTGTATTTTCTGTTCCACAGTCATGTCACTTCTAATATAAAGCCATTCAGAGTCGTTCCCACAACCCCCTCCCACCCCGATGCAATTTTTATTATTATTTTGAAGCTATACACTGTTTTTTTGCTGGGGCCCTGAATATGGACTAGCCACAGATATGGGACTTCTCCACGCGTGATCATCATCCACATGGTGGCTGTGTCACCTGGCGTTTATCATTTGTGTGATGTCCTGGTGGGGTGCAACTGCCAATCAACCTAATATCAAGCCAGTGAAAGTTACAGAACCACTAGAGACATGTGAGGAAAGTAAAAAGCAGTTACAAGCAAATACCTGAGAGAATTAATCAATATAAAATATGATGAATTGAGAACATGTGTCAAATTCAAATGTCTAGACAACTGCTATTATAAACTGTAATGAGAAAAAAGAAGTTGATAATATACTATGCTCATTGTTGAGACTAAGTAGTCCCACACTATATCTCTTGTCAAATGTCCTATTCTACATCTCTGTCAACTGTTCTATTATCTGTCTCTGTCAACCGTCCTATTTTACATTTGTTAAATGTCCTATTCTATATCTGTCAACAGTCCTTTTCTACAATTGTTAAATGTCCTATTCTATATCTGTCAACAGTCCTATTTTACATTTGTTAAATGTCCTATTCTATATCTCTGGCAACTGTTCTATTATCTGTGTCTGTCAACCGTCCTATTTTACATTTGTTAAATGTCCTATTCTATATCTGTCAACCGTCCTATTTTACATTTGTTAAATGTCCTATTCTATATCTCTGGCAACTGTTCTATTATCTGTCTCTGTCAACCGTCCTATTTTACATTTGTTAAATTTCCTATTCTATATCTGTCAACAGTCCTATTCTACAATTGTTAAATGTCCTATTCTATATCTCTGGCAACTGTTCTATTATCTGTCTCTGTCAACAGTCCTATTTTACATTTGTTAAATGTCCTATTCTATATCTCTGGCAACTGTTCTATTATCTGTCTCTGTCAACTGTCCTATTTTACATTTGTTAAATGTCCTATTCTATATCTCTGGCAACTGTTCTATTATCTGTGTCTGTCAACCGTCCTATTTTACATTTGTTAAATGTCCTATTCTATATCTGTCAACCGTCCTATTTTACATTTGTTAAATGTCCTATTCTATATCTCTGGCAACTGTTCTATTATCTGTCTCTGTCAACCGTCCTATTTTACATTTGTTAAATGTCCTATTCTATATCTGTCAACAGTCCTATTCTACAATTGTTAAATGTCCTATTCTATATCTCTGGCAACTGTTCTATTATCTGTCTCTGTCAACAGTCCTATTTTACATTTGTTAAATGTCCTATTCTATATCTCTGTCAACATTCACACTCTGCATCTCTGTCAACATTCACACTCTACATCCCTGACAACATTCACACTCTACATCCCTGTCAACATTCTGATTCTATATCCCTGTCAACATTCACACTCTACATCTCTGTCAATATTCTGATTCTATATCCCTGTCAACATTTACACTTTACATCTATGTCAACATTCTGATTCTATATCCCTTACAACATTAACACTCTACATCTCTGTCAACATTCTGATTCTATATCCCTGTCAACATTTACACTCTACATCTCTGTCAACATTCACGCTCTACATCCCTGACAACATTCTGATTCTATATCCCTGTCAACATTCACACTCTACATCTCTGTCAACATTCACAATCTACATCCCTGACAACATTCACATTCTACATCCCTGTCAACATTCACACTCTACATCCCTGTCAACATTCCCATTCTACATCCCTGTCAACATTGACACTCTACATCCATGCGAACATTCACACTCTACAACTCTGTCTACAGTGACACTCTACATCTCTGGTAACATTCATATTCTACTTCTCTGTCATCAATGTCATTGTGGGGAGAGCAGTTCTATAAAGACCTACAATGTGATGACGGTTTACAATACAACAAATAAACAAACCAAACACAGCTGCAACTTGCTAGATGTTTTTGAAACACATTTAATGTGTACTGAGATGCCTCACCTGTAGCTATCAAACTTTTCCAAAACAATGCTGGCCAGTCGTTTCTCAGCCACACTTCCTGTCACTGGATCGTCCTGACCATACTCGCTGGGGGAAAATAAAAAATAACAAGTTATTTCTTTTTTCTTTGCAGAACCAACCCCAGTATTTTTGTGATTTCATTAGGCGGGTTTATATTCAGTGGTTTTCCACTGTCCTCTCAACGGCTGGTTCAGGATACCACTATCGAAAACAATGCAAAGCCGTCTGCGGGCAAATTGCATGGCTATGTCAACAGTAAAAGATAAAGCCGGGAGATGTGAACTAGCGTCATTAGATACGGTTATAAACTATAAGCGCTCTGCCACCAGTACGGAAGGCTGATATGGGGGCTGGCTAGTGAAGAAATGGACTGGGTGCTTATGGGAATTCCCGAGTGCTATGATGTCTTTTTTATTTTTTTAAACTAATTTGCTTTCTGCACCAGACCAGACATGGAAATGAAGAAACTGGACTGAAAATGTTACCCCATCAAATGTCCAAGTCTATGAACCTGACTGAAAAGGTTGCTGTTATGATCTAGTATTTAGAGAAACGTCTGCTTTCCTGCCTCATACTCTAAATTCCTTACCAACTAACAGAAAATGAGCAAAAACAATACAAGGTCATAAGAAAAACAGCGATTCACTTTAAAACCCAGTAACATTCCAGGCAAACATAGTAGTTATGTGCACATGTCTATGCAGAATTGTAATCTTTCCATTCAGATAGGAATGTCAAAATTAGAATACAAAACGAAAAGGGGTTTATGATTGTGTTGAAAAATGTAGAGTTTACCTAATGCTGCGAAAGAAATTTAAGAACTTCAAAGCTAATGTTACAGCAGTACAAGAAGCACGTTGAGAGAGTTAAACACCAATACAAAAAAAAAAAAAAACTTTGGAGGGAAACAATTTTTGTCAGATATGGGATTTGAATCCACGCCCACATTCGTGGACCAGAACACTCATCCCAAACACAAATACCTACACAGGAAGTGAAGCATGCAAATATCGAAAGCATAACTGTAGGTGTTGTAATCCTTACATTGTTCTGTCAACGCGATTTTTTTCTTCTTTTCCTAAAACAGTTAACGATCTTACAACTCTGGAATTACTAAACAGTAATAAACACATCCGGTTACAGATAAGAATCTCCGCCCTCTGAACACCGCACTGTAAGGTTCAAAAGCTCAAAACCCACATAGACTATTGCTAACAAATGGTTTGAATTAATAGACGGTTGCGCACAATTGCCAGTTAAAAGCTCAGAGAGAATTACCACTGTTGGATTTGGCAACGAAACTAGCCTAATTATGGTAAAGCTTACGGAAAAGTAAAGGCACTGTAAATAAGTAAATACCAGTTACGTGCCGTCGCCACAATGAAGATTGGTCGCAATCGATCGCAAACACGCTCTGTCTCGTGTCCTGGTTGTACAATCTCTTAGTCTCTTGATGATGTTATGTCCCCAACTCCAGCTTACATCGTTGTCTACTTTTTGCTCTGTTGTCTTCAAATGTTACATGCAGTGTCATTTTTATAACAATCTGCGAGTGTCTGAGAGGTTCGTGAAATGGTTTCAGAATGTAATCCTCGACGTCAATGATCTCCAACCTTTTTTCAGGTCACCCCCCGCCCCTTAAGTATATGGCAAGACCCCCTTCCCCCTTAACTCCTTTATGTAATTGTAAGATTCCCATGTCCTCCCCCCCCCCCCCCCCCCCCCCCAATGTGATTAATCAAAGAAAGGAAGACACCATATTCTGCAACAATGGTAACAGTGAGTATGGAGATACGTTTTTGTCAGAATCTTTAAATGCTTGTGTTATCATATTAGTTAGATTTGTAATTACAGATGTACAAGCCACTTATGAAGACGCGAAAATGTCCTTGCCTTTTTGTTTGATAAATAGTTTGTAACAATATTTTATTAATTCTAAAATCGCTTGACGCCTCCCTTAACACCCCCCCCCCCCCCCCCCCCCCCCCCCCGCCTAGGTTGGATTCTGCACTGCTCTACGTTTACCAATGAGCGTTTATATGTAAAAAAAAAAAAAAAGACCATTCTATCGGTTTTCAGTGAAATGAGAATAGCGCCACCGACGAGACATCCCAAATCAGAGCAAAATGTTAAACAATACAAATTACACTTTCGTCATACAAATAATTACAAGATATATACATTTAAAATAACAAGTATATACTCTGAGAACTCAATAAAACCTACATATCTAAAGTATAACCCCGAGGGTTGAACTAGATTTTTAAAAATTACAACAACATGACCGGGGCTTCATATTTTAGTATTCTAATATTTAAAAATGGATAGAGTGCAGCCAACCTTGCTCTTCACATGAAAGAGATTGCATGTCTCATGAAAATCTGTTTAATTTCTAGTTGGGGAGTTTCTCGCCTAATTATCTCATTTCCATTTAACTGATGGATTTGTTTGTTTAATAACGTAAACGTTCACTCATCTATTGTACACGTGGTCTTGATTCTCCACTCTCTACTTTCAAACCTCTACATCTTTGTTTCTGCGCTGAAGTCGCCAACTCACCCTTATCAGTTTTATTTTCTGTACCCCATCACTGATCTGACAGTTCACACATTAATTTGTTATATCCTTCTGTCTTCTTAATTGTTTATGTTCACCGGCTGTAAACTCCAGCGGAAAGTTCTGGTTGTTCGTTGTACACTTTTAAATAGTTTTGATGTACTTTTTTTTTTCTTTGTAGAGGAAGATTTTCCGAACCGCCACGTCTATTTTACAGCGTGTGATTGTGATTTTGTAAAGCTGGTCCTCTTCACTTTCCGTTTTATGTTTAATTATGCGGTGCAGCAAAATCCGTGCGCCGATGCTAATCTTAAAACCACAGAGACGGGGAATGATGTCGCCATGTAATCACAATGCCAAAAGAATGTGTCGTGGAGGCAGAGTACGCGTGTACGGTAAAACTTTAGCCTACAACGGTGACATGCCAAACTTTGGTTCGCAAGTGTGCGCTAAAGCTGTATATTTTCTATTCCCCCTGCTGCCACAAACACGGGAGTCCGTTAATCAGTCAAACACGTTCACATATTTTGGAGATTGGCACACATTTGGGTCGGACGTATTTTCCAAAACTGGGAATCTTTTGTAGTACGGGAGTGCTTTAGTTTTCACTGATTAGTGAAGGCTGTCACCTTAACGTTCTGGACAGATCCACAGGTGCTCTGATCTTCTTTCATCACAAGAGTTAAACAACTGATCACGCCCGTTCTGTGCTGACTAACCAGTCGACTTGTGCTTTGGTGAAATGTTCATATCTGACTACTCCAGGTTGCACCCGTATGCCTACCAACTTGGACAAGGATACTGTATCCTGCTTGTTATATTCTTTGTGATACACAGCTCGCAGAATATAAATGATATCACTCCTCTCCAGTGCCGGACTAGTCGTGGTAATCGCTTTGACAGAAAAAAATCTAGAAACGGGTTTTAAAAATATATAGAAATATCTATATTTGGGCGGGAAACATCTAGAAAAAAAAAACATCCGAATGAAACAGTCACAAATTACATAGCTATTGATATGAATTACCCTATAGAATCATGTCCTCATCTTCACTGATGTGTCTCACAAGATCCATAGGATAAACTTAGCTTGTATGATGAAGTTGAAGCGTCAGATCAAAAATGACTTTAGTATGCTTTAACTGTTCTAATTTCTTTCTACGTCAGCATTTGAACGGGGTAGTATCATGAAAGACATGGCACACTCAAAGAGCTTACAGAATGGACTGATTTCTGTGGAATCCTTAAATTGTTTCACTTCACTCCAAAATGCTTAAGTTTCTGTTTTGTTCGTCCGGTGAATCAAGTTTATTTTGGAAAAATTTCATAACTTCACAATTTTTTAATATGTGCTTTTCTGGCTGAAGTATGTTGCTCACAGAAAACTTTAATATTTTTCAATACATCTAGATTTTCAGGAAGTCTGCTTCAGTTACTTGAGATAAGGAAATTTTGACAGCACTTTCTTAAGTTGTTCTCTTCATTTTCTGTTAACAGTCCTTTTGTTTTTAAATCATCAATTTTTGATTCGATTTAATATCCAAGGTATGGCTGAGGAGCCAAATAGCTCTCTGTAGTGCAAGTGAGCAAATCAGTTTTAGAAGTTGGCACCACCAGTCTTTTACCAACTGAGTGAAATAGCAAAGCAATTTAACTTTATCAACATGTTTAGATTCGAACAGTTTATAAACGTTTTGCACTTGCATTAGAAAAGGTTGTAAAAAGAGAACGAATGCCAATTATTCTATAGCCCTGTACATTCCATATAGTTTTTTCAGCTGTGTAGCACTTTTCATTTTGTCTTGTTATTTCTAAGTGTGTCTTTAACTCCAACCACTGGTTCACAATTTTCTTCAACAGGTGGTTGAATTGATAACCATCTAGTTCTACAATCTGACAGAATTTTCAGTGGTGCAAAACCATCATTTAATGCTTATAATAAGTTATTGTATTGCTGCTGACTGACAGATAATTTGGAACACGAGTAATGTGTTTCAGAAATAAGGTATTCCAAATTCCTTGGTAAACATTCAGATGAAGCATGTGATAATGCTAGCTGCAAAGAATGACACACACATTTTATCAGGATTATCATCGCTAACTTTACTGTCAGAAACAGTGGGGGTTTTGTGTGTGTGTGTGTGTGTGTGTGTGTGTGTGTGTGTGTGTGTGCGCGTGTGTTAAAATCAATCAAATAGTCACAGTTTGAAATTCCACAATGACAACTCAAAAACACTGCGACAGATCCTTCAACTTTTGATGATTCATTCATCTGTGTTTCATCCCTACGTTATGTTATCAGTGCCAAACGTGGACAATGAACAAATCACATATGCAAAAAATAACTACGTGTGAAATGCGATGTCTCCGAAGAGTCACCAACAATACACGAAGAGACAGAGTCACAAACGTCAGCATTAGAGACAAAGTTGGAACAAGAGCATGCATGGAACATATTGAAAGACAGAGAATGAAGTGGTTTGGTCATTTAGTAAGAATGCAACCGGATC